AAACTCATGTAACAGTGCACAATGTGCCACCAGGGCTTTGTTTTCACAGGGAGTACAGAACAGTCAGATCAGATCAGTTTTAAAACTCCCGAGTTCACTGACTTATTCCTGATGTTAGGCAGCAGTCCCAGCTCAACAGAAGACTGATAAAGGCCAAAAGGATGTGGTGGTGTTAATCTGGTCCCTGTAAAAGTCCCTGTAAAAAAGCAAACTCCCAGGAGTAACAGACTGGCCAAACACTAGAAATAAAAATGCCAATTTCCAAAGCACAGTTCTCTCTTCTCCCCCCACAATTTTTCTTTTCTTTAAACAGAAAAAGGATAAGAATGTCTTACATATGCAATCCCTCGACCCTCTCTTGACATCACTAATGAAGTGAGTTCCAGGATCTCATCACATATGAGGTATGCCATGAAAATCTGTAGGAAAGCATGATCACTAGTTGTGTTTTTCTATGTTGTTCCTGCAGTCTGATGTCACCCCATTACTGAGCAATTAATCATAATAGTGGTGCACAGGGCTGGCACGACTTGGTAACCTCATGTCATTGCTCACAGACAAGCCAAGCACAAAAACCTAAAAGTCTTCTCTCTTCGGCATCCCCTTCAACAACACTGTGCCCTCCTCTGGCTCAGCTCAGCACCTGAAACTGCTGCCTGTCAGGAAGAAGGAAAGAAAGGGAGGGCAGAGCACTGCTGAGTGGTGCAAAGGAGACAAACTCCAAACCACTGTTTTGTTTTCATTATGGTCTCACACAACAAGACTCCCAGCCAGTGCGGTAAGAGTATTCTCTCCATAAGACTTAATCTGATGAAGACCTGATCCAAAGGAGTCTATGGACTTCACTGAAGACCACATCTGGCACAGCTCAATGCTTATGTGCTTCTCAGGGGCCTGGTATGCCTTGAGGACCTTGACCTTACCTGGTGTCTCCAGCCACAAAAAAACCCTGTCCAGAGCTCAGGAGTTCACTTCTGCTCAGCCAGGAGCCTTCTATCCTCACCTGAGCTATGCTGTAGAATTCCCATCTCCAGACTGTCGTCTGTCCTTGTTTCCCTGATATATCCATCCAGTTCTACTTCTTTGATGAACCTTAGACCCCTGGTATAGATTTGTCTTCAACCCTGTCTCACCACTTCTGCTTGGGTTCCCTAAGAGGGCCCTGGACCTGGTTCATCACCTCACCTTGTCTGGAATGGTCAGGATGGATCCCATCACCAGCATCCTGCCCTGTCCCTGCCAGCCAGATGCTGCAGGACTGCACCCTGGTCAGTGGGAGCTCTGCCTGAGCTGGATCATCTCCCCTTCCAGCTTGCCCCTCTCGAAGTTCAGCCCTGCTCTGGCTGCTCCCTGACAGTGCCTCAAGTGCTCTTTAGATGGATCCAACTTACACCTCACTAAAGAGCAGTGCAGGTTGCTGCTGTAGCTATTCCTTCAGGGACTACTGAGACCACTTTTCACTTCATCAAACCACACTCCCCTCTGCCTTGAGCCTGAGAGACACTGGGAGATATTTATAGGTTGAGACAGGAAGAGAGGGCAGCTGGTGCCACAACCCTGACCATGCTGATAAGGACCTTGAGGATCACCCACCAGGCAGCCTTCTGAGATCAAAGCATGCAAGAAGAGGAGGTGGAGCAGAGTCTGAGCCATTACCAGAGCTCCCTGCTCTCCAATTAAATTTCAAACAGATAAGAGCCCAGGTGCTGATCCAGCCCAAGCAATGTGTATTGGCTATAGGAAGTCATATACATCCCTCCTGTTCCACAAGAGACTTCATCAGGTGACCCGAGTCCAAGCAGCCCCCTTGCTGCTGGTCCTGATGAAAGAATGCTGGCTTCACCCTGGGTTCTGATCCAAGGTGAAATCTGTCATTGACTCACAGGCCTTGCATTTCCTTTCCTATTGTCTGAAAGCCAATTTCAAAGTTGTTTTTGCAGCTCTTCATGACGTCCCAGTGCAGCTGTGCTAAATTCCAATGTGAAAGCAAAGAATTAAAAAGGAACTAGGATCACATCAACATTAAAACTCTTCAGAAGAGATTTTCCTCTCTAGATTGTTGGTGGAGCTCATCGTGGTGGACACACAGAGGCTGTCCCCTCTGTAGCTGTGTTGGGGTGAGTGCAGACAGATTAAGTTGAATGAAGTCCTTAAATATTGCTATATCACATCTGCCACCCTGCAGATGTGGTATAGCAATATTTCCATTTTATTTCAGTTTTTACACAGAACAAACTTCTTTCTGAATTCAGGAAGGATCTTTCTGTCTGCATTGTGAATAAACACAGGATTGGGACTTGACTTATAATTTTTACTGACCTATATTGAGCCCTTTCCTGTGCTGCTCTAAGTGCCTTTTCATGCCACTCATTCACACTTTGTTTCTGAGTCATTCCTTACTAATTTTGTGAGCTGGTGGGTAGTGTTCATACCTTCACACTCAGCCCTTCCAGTTAACTGCACAGCACTTTGTTTTAAAGTTTGTTTAATTTTTCTAAGCGTTCTGCTCAACTACTGAGGCGTCATGGCTGGGGAAGTGTGGCAGGCAGGGACACACTGCTGCTTAGCATCTCCTGTATTTTCTGCCAGCTCGGGGAGGGAATTTGCCCTCTGAAGTCTCCTGAGGCTGTAGAGTGATGGAGGTGGACATGCCCTTGCATGCTGTGGCAGACGTGGCTTTCCACAGTGCAGTACCAGGTTCCTGCAAAGCTGGTTTGAGCCATTCGGGAATCTTGCTTCATTCCACGAGGGCCACCCTTCAGCAGCTGCCAGAGCTGATGTCAGACTCCACACACAATAGAGTTTTCAAGTCTTTATCAGTTTGTCTCTTCTCCCTTCACAGATATCCTGGAGACTTTGCACCGGCAAGGGACGAAGTCCCACCAGGAACAGGGATATTCAGGGACAACACACCCACCTCTGGTTGTACTTTCACACCTTCCTGCTCTTGCTGTGATAAAGAGGGACAATACACCCCTGTACCTTTGATCTATGTCTGCATAGTAGAAACTGCCCGTTTAGTGAAAGGCTCAAATCTTCACAGCAGGTGGGACAGAAAGCCTGGCTGCACCAGAAAGTCAATATGCAACATCTACACTTGCTTTTCCCTTTCTTTTTCCTTATTGGCCTTTCTCAGCAACTGCCTCACCCTAAAGAAACATTTACCACCTCAGCTGGCTTTGTTGCAAGAACCTGTTCTATAGGTTTTATGGCTAATGTGGCCTTGAGTTACCAAGAAATCTGAAACTCAGTCCTGTGACTTTCACTGTCTCTAAAATACTTTTAAAGCTTTGTTATATTCGTGGGTTTCTTTAGGTTCTTAGTGGTCCTTTCCCCCTGAACCACATCCTAGTGTTTAGCAGAGCAACCCCACCATGATGAGTCAAATCTGAAAGTGAGGAAGGTACCCAAATTTAACCCTTGCCTGGAAGAGCAAACTTTCAGGAGCACCATAGATATGTTATGGTAGGATGCCAGGAGACTATCTCCCTTTTTGTCATTCTCACATAATCAGCAATCTACAGCATGGGGTGTGATGTAGGTTATGAGTTCTCAAGTTTAGTTCTTTCCATACACCCTAGTAATATGGAGTTAATAAATTGAACTTTTGTGAGGACTAATTGGAAATACGCAGCCCAGGACATGTTGTGCAGCCCTGTACAGTTAGGGCAGTTCTTGCATCACCACCTAAAGTCTCTTAGTACCACACCATCCACTCGCCACTTCAAGGCTTGGCTCTCTTGGGCAGTTTCCTGGATTGCCCAAGCCTCAGTCTACACAGGACTCCGGAAATCATGACCCATAGCTGACTAAAATGAGGGGCATGATTACCAAAACTCACTGCCAAGTTTTAACGAATTATACTGAGCTGGCTTTTTGGTTGCCTTCACTTTATCATCTAATCACAGATTTACCGAAATTCTGAAGTGTTCTCAAGGTTGTCTACTTAATTGTGGCTATTTGCAAATCCCTGGGCACAATCAAGCAATCAGCTGAGAAGCACTGTCATGCAAAGTCAGTTTTCTGAATGGCTTTTCACAGAATTAGGCATGGAACCAGAAGAGTTGCTTGTTGCCTCTACCCTGACATACCTGCCCATCTCCCTCCTACTTTCTTGTCCCACTACTGCACATTGCAGCCATTCAGTGGAAGATGACAAATCCATGTGTAGTGGCAATAACCATCACAGCATGCTACTGGCAGATTGTGTGCAAATCAAGTTCACTTCCCCAGTCTCAAATCACCAGTCTTGATAAGACACTCATGCTGCATAGTACTTCACATATATTAACTGCCATGCATTTCATATTCAGGACATATGCAGCATCTCTGGACACTGGGACTCTCTAACCCATGTTTGTGGCTGAAAACTACTGAAAATCACATGTTGCCATCAGTCAAACCTGCTGGCAAGTCATACTGTTCCCATCACAAGAAATTAGTGTGTTCTAAAATGCTTAGTGTTTTCACCTCTTGCCAAGAAAATATTGGTGATGTTCCTAAATCAAAACATGATTCAAAGAGCTCCCAAGTAACTGAATGATTAATTTCACCACTGGAATTCAGATATTCAAAGGACAAAAATTCACAAAATTCACTTTGGTATTAATTGGCAGCTGCAAACACTGAAGGAATTCAGCTTCAGGACCGCCTCACAGAGGGGATGACCCTGCAGGCAGGACAGATCTAGAAGCTGAGCTAGCCCTCCTCTGCATCAAAAAATGGCCCAGAAGCTTTGGAAATGAAGTTGCCCAAGTGGCTCCCTGGCAAATTAGCCTGGCAGCCCTGGGACACAGCCAGCCTGTGTCAAGGTGCACTTTGGAATCACAGATTTCATGGCACCTAAGGGAACCTAAGTAGAGTGTTAGGAATCTGGCAGAAAAGCTGGCAGAAAGCCACAAGGGCCAGATTCAAAACCTTCCTAACAGAGATGATTTCACTGCAAAAGCTGAGGAACTGACACATTTCCTTTCATGTTTTACTTTAAATGGAGACAAATTTCCACAGAAAACTGCCCCCAGGTTCCGTTATTGAAAGGCCTTGGAGCCTGATCCTGCAAATGCTTTGACTCACAAATAATTTTCTGTAAGTGTGCAAAGTCACTGTATCATGTATTTCCAGAACTGGATCTCCTTCAGCTGCCCGTTTTTCAGGCTGACTTAGCAGCAATCCACCTCTGATGGTTCATCTGGCTTGTGTTTGCCTGGTTTGCAGAGCCATAGCTGGCACACAGTTCTGTTCACCCCTTTGAAACAACACTTGAGACATGAAACAGATGCAGCTACATCTGTGACTACATCTGCATGAAACAACACACACTGGTTACTTACAGCATATTCAAACTGCAGATTAAAATCCCGGTTGTTTGCTTGAAGTTGTCTCTCTTCCTCTGCAAAGAAAAGGAAACACATCAATCACGCGTGAGGGTAAGCAGAGTCAATACAGATGTGAGTGGAGCATCAGAAAGTGCAAGCAGAGCTTCTAGAAGGGAGTGACACAGAGAATGGGAGCCCCACGCCAGGGACCTGGGGTGGCCGGTGGCACTGATAGAGCTGCACTATGGATGGCACCATGGCACTCTTAACACCATGGAACAAGTTTCCTCCACGCACCACTTGCTGCAATGCCCATGCCTGGTCAGGTTGTTCACCTTCCCACTCAGCTAGTGGCGCTCACTCTTCCTGCCCTGCTCCTTCTCTTCCCCCTAAAGTCTCTGGAGTTTTTGCCATCAGCCTACAGCTGGTGCCCTTCTTCCAGTACAGGTGCATTTCTGGGCATCATCCCACTGACGGGACACCATCCCCACAGCTGTCATGAAATCAAAAATTACTGGAAGGATATCAAAAGGTCATCAAATCTGTCCTTTACCTCAAAGCAGGGGCTTGCCTGTCTTCCCCAAAAATGACATAGAAAGCTCCAGCACCAGTTGTTTTTCAATTGCCTATTCCAGGACTGAAGATTCCTCCCCCTAGGGCAGTCTTTCCTTGTATTATCTAACATAAAACTCATTACTTCAATTTCAAGAGGTTTTGTCTTCTCCCAGGAGGGTCAAAGGTGGTCTTCTGCTTCCCCTACGTTCCTTGTGCTACTTGCCAAGAGTACAGATGATTGAGGGATGGGATTGTCCCACTCTGCTCTGCACTGCTGCAGCCTCACCTTGAGTCCTGAGTGCAGTTTTGGGCACCACAGTGCCCAAAAAGGTACAAAAGCTATTAGAAAGAGACCAAAGGAGGGTCATGTGGACGGTGAAGGGACTTGAGGGAAACCCATATGAGGAACACCTGAGGTCTCTTGGTCTGTCCAGCCTGGAGAGGAGTAGACTGAGGGGAGACCCCATCGCTGTCCACAACTTCCTTGGGAGGGAAAGAGGAGGGGCAAGCACTGATCTCCCCTCTGGTGCCCAGTGACAGGACCAGAGGGAATGGCCTGAAGCTGTGTCAGGGGAAGTTTAGGCTGGATATCAGGACAAGGTTCTTCACCCAGAGGGTGGTTGGGCACAGCAGCAACCCTGACAGAGTTCGAGACACATTGGACAACGTTCTCAGGTGCAAGCTGTGGTTCTTGGGGCTGTTCTGTGCAGGGATTCTGTGATTCAAAGTTGACTACATCCTGAAGGCTGTTATGCCTTACACTAGCCTTCCTAAGGGTAAGCAGTTCCTCTTTCTTCAGTCGCTTCTTATGCATTAATCCATCGGAAGGAACATCACCCTTGGTGCTATCCAGTGGGCTTCCCAGCTAGTGCAGCCCATTCTGGATGGATGCCCAAAGTGGGCCATGGTTTGCAGCTGAGGCCTTACCAAAGCTGACCCGGGCACAAGGGACATATAACTTTCCTTGCAGACCATGCACATCATGCATAAGAATTCACCCAGGAGTGATTAAAAGTAACTTCCTTATGCACCAACAGCACACAGAGGATGGCTTCCCAGAATATGATCCATTTTGGCAGATCCTTTCTGGCAGAGCCAGATGCCTCATCAGGCAGTGCAAATCTTTCATTTGTCCTTGCTGAACTGCATCCAAATTCTTTCAGACTATTTCTCCAACCAGTCAATTCCAATCCTATCTTTCAGTGTGATTGTAGCTCTTGCCAGCATGGTGCCATTCACAGATGTACTGAGTGTGTTCTTTATTCTGTCAGCCAAGATGAAGAAGTAAATATTGAATATCAGATTCAGAATAGGATATACCTCTGATGAATCTTTCAAGTTTCCTTATCAGTCATTAATATCTATTGTTAATGTATTTTTTTTTCTGAAAAATCTGGCACTCACTGTTTTGTGATTTTATCTCAGGCACAGGCACGTATCTCCAGTTTACTTGTAAAAATGCCACAAGTGACAGTCAAGATACATGGCAGCTATCTGAGGTTTTTTCAATAGCCCTCCAGCTACCACTAAAACAGAATTAATTTTGGTTTGATGCAGTTTTTCAGGACTGCTGACTGTTAATCATCTCTTCCCCACACACACACTCCTAGTTACTTTGAAGTGGTTTGCTGTATTGTTTTAACCTTTACTCAAGTGAAGCCAATACATCTATAATTGTTCAGCTTTTCTCTTTTCCCTCTGCTTGCTCTCTTCCCAGTCTTCTGAACTTTGCCTGCCTGTGAGCCAGACTCTCAAAGGCAGAACTGCTCCAGGGCATGCTTTACCTTACCCAGTCAACCCATTCTCTCTCTATTCCAGCCCAAAATCCACCCCTTTCTCCTCTGCTTTTGGCAAGCTTTATGTTAGATATCTAGAGGGAAAAAAAGAAAAAAAAAAAAAAAAAAAAAACCAACAACAACAAAAAAAACCCAACAAAGACACCACAACAAAACCCTTCTGATTTCTTAGCTTTATTTGCTAGGCTTTTTCCACTGAGCCTCCCCAGAGACCCCAGCTCTTACAGAACAACTTTTATTGCCCTTTATGTCCTTGATAGCCTTTTCTCACTTAGAACCTTTACCACACTGTTTGTGCTGGATAAAACAAACTGGTTTGCGCCTTCCAGAGGCATCCTTCCTTTGTCTGAAGCAAATGGAGAGCTTCTGATTTCACCATTTCACTCATCCTTCTGAGCCTTTCTCTGAAAGGTGATAACTTATACATGTGCCCTTAATATCAATTAATAATATATGTGCCCTTAATATGAATTAATAATATATGTCCTTTAATATAAATTATTTAAGGAAATGACAGCTCTGTCTAATTCTCCCCCCACCCTAGGATTCCTTCCCATGAGGTCTCAGCTGTTAGTTCTTCATATTTATTGAAGGTTTCCTTCTTCAAGTCAATGTTAAACAATTTGATACTGTCACTTTTTCCTAAGTATCATCACATCATTTCATAACTATTCCTGCTTACACTCCCTTCAGCTTTCAGAGGACCAGCCAGCTCCTCCCATTCCCTCCCTTTTGGAGGGAATCACTTCTGAAACAACCTCCTCTCCTCTCCAAAAAGTTACCCACCTCTGCACCAAAACTCTGTGCCAGCTGAGTAGGTCGTGTTCCTCTACACTTCTCTCCAGCTCTGCCTCTGCATGGATGGAATTCTTCATTTACCACTATATCCTGCCTCTCAGAAAAGTATTTTTTCTTTTTTTTTTCTTTTTTCTCTTTTTTCCTCTTCTTTTTTCTTTTTTTTTTCATAAAAGACTGCCCTTCTTGGTTTTCTATGCTAGTGTTCATTACTTTGTAGCATTACTAAGAGATTTGCAATTTGCTCATCTCTTTCTTCAAGCTGCATTTCAGACCATGCAGTCATGAAAGGAAAGCTTCTGTTAACCATACAGAGTTAGTTTTATTATTTTCTATTAATATTCCAGCCTCGTGAGTTATCACAGCATGTGTCTATTACGCCTATTAAATGATGTGTTAAGATAGCTAGTTCTTCCTGTTTGCTCACTCTTGCATTAGCAAGAGTCTAAGCTGTCCAATGCATTGAAGTGCTAGCCTTCCTCCTTTTCCTTCAATGACCCTGTAAATACATAGCATCCCTAATTTTTAAGCCCTTTTTCAGGTCGCCATTTTTTGGTCTCTGTCTGTAGGCTATTTTCATCAAGCCATCTAATCACTAATGTAAAGCTATGTTAGCAGGCAAACGTGCCTTTCTCCTTCTTCAGGCACATCTAACAGTATCAGTCATTTTGAAATCAGCTGCCATCTGCCCCAAATGGGTAATTCAGATCAACCACAGTGGCTTCATTCAATGCCCTCAAAGTGCTTAATCCTTCACTGCTTTCCTCAAATTTTTCTTATCTTCACAATAGGGACAACAATGTACCAAGAGATCAGTCACTTATCTGATGTCCCAGAGGAAAACAGAAGCAGAGCTCAAGAGGTTCAGACTTGCTGGGCTTCAACTATTGTGTTGTGTGCTCCTCCAGGAATTTGTCTGAGAACAACTGGTATCCTCAAAGCCGATGAAAGATAAAGCTATTTGTGAAAAAACAGAAGTTCCCAACACTTGCCTGTTTCCTGCCATACACTAAGTGCTACCCTTATCCCCTCCTCAGGGGCTCCAAGCCTAGCCCTGGAAGAAGTGCCTCAGAAAAGATAAATGGTGTTAATGTAAATAGGAATAAATGACAAAGCTTTTGAAATCCTTAGTGGCTTTCTGTTCTGTATGCAGAAGCGGAAATCCAAGTGCTGCAGGCAACAGCTGAACATGCCCTGAGCTCCTTTGCTCTTCCCAGGGCACACTGAGGGAGCAAGAAGCCATCCCCTTTCTCAGGTTGCCCCCAGGGTCTTGGCAGCCAGGGAAGAGGCACTTGACACATGGATTTGAACTCAAGAGTCTCAAATGCACTTAGAAAAAAGCTGACACATGTATGTGCCCCAGTGGGGAAAGGAGCCTCTCAGAACAGTGAGAGATGCACTTTCCAAGTGGCTTTTATGTGAGAAATATTAATGGCAGCAAACAGCTCTGGGATGGCACAGAAACATGAGGCAGTGGGACATGAAACAGAACAGGAATGAGAATCAAGGCACTGCACTCCCATACAGCACCTAAGGGCAGGTTTCCTGTGATAACCCTTTCTTCAGGCCCCAGGTAACTGTGAACCTGGTTCAAAACTGAATGGAGCCTTTGCCTGCCATAGCCATCCATCTCTCTCAGAGGCAGTGTCCCTAAAGGCCAAAACATAAGGCTAATTCCTAGTGGTGAAATTTAATTTTTCCTGCTGGGTAACAGCCAGTATCTTTGACTAAATCAAGATTAACCACAATAAATGTCACAGAGAGTCTCATCCAACAGCATCAGCAAGGAGAGCTTCCTGTCCTCTGGTTACACCAAGGGAGAACCACTGTGACCACATGCACAGGGCAACACTGCCTCAGTGGCTTTTATCAGCTGAGGACTGTGAGGTCCTACTGCTGCCTCCTAATCCAGCAGCTCTCAACCACTG